ATTAAAAAATTTTATTTATTAAATATACAATTAAAATCATTAATATGATATTGATTTAAAAAATAATTAATTGTTAAAAATTACATAAATACACACTTTATTTTATTTTATCTAAATAAATAAAATTTTGTGTAAAAGTACTGATAGTGGTGTTGGTGGCCCAATGGTGAAAACTTCAAAATGAGTATTGAAGGAGTGGGGTTCAAATCCCCTTAAGTGCACAAACTTGTTGAAAGCTTTCAAAATTTATGAACCAGACGGTTCAGAAGTCAACGAGTTTTGACTAGATTTTTTGAGTTTTGATTGTGTTTGACTAACTTTGATTGAATCTTATTATAAACTGAGTTTATGTCATAACTCGAACTGATTTTGTGATCAATTTTGGTTAAATTGATCAGATCAATTGGTTTAGTCCAGGTTTTAAAACAGAGCCTGTAACGCAATTTTTTCTTGTGAAATTTTGTAGAGAATTTATTCCACCCAATGGAGACTTATGGGGATTCATACATAATAAAAAAAACATAAATTTATTCTTATATACATTTTTATAAATATATTATCAATTAATTTTTACTCATCCAACCTAATTGACTAACCCAACCTAACTTAAATTGCTTAGCCTAATTCCTTTTTCAGTTCTAATTTTCTCAAACTCAATTCAATAACCCAATCCAACTTAGACATAAATGGCAGCTCATGTTTTTTCTTTTTTCTTTTTTTTTTTTTTATAAACTTGTTGCTGGACCTATTAAACGTGTATGGTAGTGTGTATTTGTAGCAATTAATTGCTAGATATTGCTTTGCTACACTATATATTAATGTACTTACTTGTTTGACTTGTTTTAAATTTTTACTTTTTTATTTATAAAAAAAAATAAAGCTAAATTCCATATATTTAATACTTAATGGAGACTCAAATAGCCACAAGGACCAATCATTCTCCATAGGCATGGGGACAAAAGCCATTTTTGACCTTTCACCAAAATCCTTATGGGATCCTCGCACTCATCATTGACAAAGGTGAGGATGGGAAGAGGCCCTTACCCCTAGGAATCCATTTCCATCTCTCTTAGTGAGCCTCATAATTGGGCTTAATATCCTCTTTCATTATAATTGGGCCAATTTATAGTAGACTGGTAGTCTGGTTGGCCATCTTAGGATTTAGGAAAGTAATTTGGGCTTAAGTCTTTTCTGGGCCTTACCGCTTTTAAAAAATAATTTGGGCTTAAATACGTATGATCTCACATATTTTTTTCATGGATCCAATTCACCCATCCTCAATTCCTCATCCCACTTCAAAATTCATATTTCAGGCTTTTCAGCAACTTGTGACTTGTCACCCGTACAAGTATATTGAATCTTTTTCACTTAAGGAAATTTAAAATTCTTAAAAATGTCATATTGAAGTAGTACTATGTATGTTATGTACTTGTATTCTACATTAAAAAATGTCTAGATGAAGTTGTCTTAATTTTTTTAATAAAATGTAAAAAAAGATTACCTCAATTCAAAATCAAGTTGTGTCATTAATTTGAGTAGAATCTCTAATGATATTTAATTATTGTATATTAACAAAAAAAAATTATTAACAATAAAATTCAAATTGAAAAACAGACAGTTGAAAAATATTCGAATCTTACCACTAGATCAGTAAATCTTAATGCACAACACTATAGTGAATGGAAGCATGAAACCCACCTTGAATAGTATGCTATAGTGGGCTAAGCGCACTAATGCTTTTGTTTTCTTTTCATCTTGCTCGCATGCATGAAAAACCTTTCCTTTTCCCACTAATTTGTGTAGTATTGGAAAATCTTTTGGTTTTGGGTGGGAATTTGTGTCATCCACTCATTAAGACTTTATTCTTCCCTTTTTTGGCTGAAAAAATATATATATAAATTTAGCTAACCAAAACAACCTGGGCAGTCTCACATTGTTCGGACGGCTCTGTTTATTTTCCTTTTAGTGGAAGCTTTATTTTTTTTGGTGGCAAAAAAATGTGGATCTGTTTGGAAGAAAAGAAACCCAATTTGGAAAAAATAGTGGGCATTTCTTACATTTCCCCAGGTACGATTTTCTTTCCTATTTTTTTCCTTCTACTTCTTTTTATCCATTTGTGTTTGTATAAAAAGATGCTGCTTTTCACATAATATTTTGGATTTTAGAGAAGTGGTGGTGATCAAGTTAAGCAATTTAAAAGCACTTTATTGGGTTGAGCTTACTAATTTATAGCCATTTATTACTTAGTTTGATCACAATGAGACACTTGTTGAGCTTAGACATAATTACAACACAAGCATGAAATTTAATTGACATATTGGATCACATTGAATTCTTAATTATATTTATTGAAAAAGGAGGCTGAAAATTCTGTTGGTGACATTCTGTTATAAACCCAATATTGAATCCCTGATTGTTAATTCAAAAGTACAATTGAAATTCTGTTGTGATCACATAAAAAATAGGAAATACTGGCATGAAGCTTCCTAAAAGGAAAGAGGAATATCGGCTGCTTGGCCGCCCAGAATTGAAATATGTGTTCAGATGAGTAGACATTTTCTTTTCCAGTTTCTTCAATTCACCGTTAACGCAAAAAGTTTTGACCTTTTTGTTTTCTTGGCAACACATGGCAGGGCAAAAGTAACTTTAGGTTCTTTTTTTTTTAAAAAAAAAGGTCAAATAATTGACATATATAATACAATAGCGGAAAACTGACACTCCCTTTCTCATAATCTTTCTTGAACGGCTTCAAAGATTTGAATACAAAAAATTTAATTCAGAGTTTTAACTTTTTAATCACTAAAGTGTCCATTAATGATGATGGCCTATTTGCTAAATTGAGCTCTAAAGCAAAATAAATTCTGGGGTTTTTTTATCTTGTATCATTATAACACATATTAAAAGTGTAATAAAAATATATTTTTATAATTAATTTACATAAAAAATAATAAAAGATGACTTGAGTTTAATTAATTGACTAATTAAAACTATTCATGTGATAATGACACTAAAATAAAAATTAATTTTAATTATTTTTCATGTAAATTAATTTTAAAAAGATGCATTTATTGTATCCTTAATTTATAATTTTAGACAAACCCTAAATTCTAATTAATAGATTCAGTTTCCGTGAGGGAATACAAAGAGAGATTACCTTGAGAATTTATTAGTCCCACTGTGGTTAATTAAATGTAGCAACAAAACTGTAAAAGATTTTTTTTTCCCTTCTCAAAAATGGAATTTGGATTCCATCAGCCGTCAAGATGAATTTCCTTTTCTTTTCTTTTTTTTTTGGATTTTTATTGTCTTGTGCCTTTTATTGCACTTTTTTTGTATTACTAACATTAAAAGGATAAAAATTGATAGTAATTTTGATAATTATGTAATTAAATTTATACTAATATTGATAAAAATTAATGTTAATTTTTATTTTTTTTATATAAATTAATTTTTAAAAAATGCCACCAACTAAATAATTCAATGTAATTTATATAATATACAAATAAAGTGAATACCAAAATAATTAGTTTTTATACGACTCAAAATTAAAAAAATAAAAATAAAAAGTGCCCAAGATACAACTTAAAAACTTTTTTTTTTTTTTTTCTATCAAGGATGACTGGGTGTTGATTAATCCACCGTCACCACTTTTATCATTGAACTTCAGAGTTAGGATTAGTTATATTATTTTTAAAAAAATAAATAATAAATCATACAATATAAAATAATATTTTTAAAATTTTTTTTTATTTATCTCAATATTTAAATGTGAGATCTCAACCGAACA